CGTAAAAGCGAGTTGCTCCGACATAATCGGCGTCTGGAGCCGCTGGAAGGATTTCCATCGGGGACTTCACGCGTTCGTAAATAAAGCGTCACGGGTGCGCGGTGGGTCGCTATGTTTAGTTTAGGCGGTTTCTTAGATTTTCAGGATCACCATGAGAAAAAGTCGAGTCTTCCGTTACCGCTGAACCGTTTTGCAATCGATACAACGCGATTCTAGACCGATTCTCACGATTATGCGATTAAAAAATAAATTTTGGCAACGCATTTTGCCTAAATTTTTATCTCAACGTGTCATTTCTCGATTTTTATGTTAATAACGGACAAATAATTTTGCATCCTCGTAAATTGCTTGTAGATTATAATATTCTGCTATTAATTGCATTTAATCTAATTTTTATCAGAATTTGGCATAAAACTTTAAAACTAACGACTTCAATTTCTCACAGTTTATTCAAAATACTAATTAATCCTTTAACTGCTGAATTAAGTTTCAGACGTTAATATCTGAATGCTGAATTATTTATATACGCTATCCAAGTTCCAAAAAAAAATTAAATATAGCATTGAACTAAAAATTCAGGAAATATTTTCTAAACGGAATACTGATAGCGTATCAAACATGTAATTAAAAGCCAAATAAATAATTTAGCATATTTGCTGCAATTAAAGGATTAATCGATATCAACTTGCATAATCAGTGTAAAAAACATGATTGATTACCTTTATAATGCGAGAAGAAGAAAATGGAAGAAGAGAAGGTGGCGGGGGAAGGCGCAGCGGGCGTGACGTAGCCGAGGACCGACATCTGTTCTCTGTCTTTTCTTCCTAAATCACCACAATTTCTGTCACTCCTTTCGTTTTCCCCGCGAATGATGAATCGCCCGTCGTTAGTGCCAGTGGCTGTGCGCCCTCCGCGTCGCGCGGCACCGTGCGCCCATACATATTTATATCTGAATAGGGCCGATCCGATGGCGCACTTATTCGTGCGCGCCGGGTTTTACGCCGGCAGTAAACCGTTCCGCGCTCCAGATTATGGCACTCACCCGCGATAGACGTGGGTAAATACGCGGGGAAACCACCGTGCTGGTTTCCGGCACCGAGTCCGCGATAGAGCGATGGAGTGATCGCGCGGAGCGACGTCGCCGCGGATGGAAATAGAACCGTGCGAAAATCCGCCGCCGAAAACTGACAGCTCACGTATTTGTGTGTATGTCTGAAACAAACTATCCACTGCGAAGATTTATACAAAGAAAGGTAACGGCGCGATTTAGCAGAATCGGGATTTAGATGTAATTTTCGACGATTTGTTGCTAGAACGCCAAAAAGATAGCTCTACCATAAAGTTCGACTGAAAATTGTAATTGAATTCCGGCTCTAAATTAAAGTCATATTATTTTATATAAGTCCTTTCAAATTCATGAAAATTCTTTTGCAGAAATCCTGTACGTTTTTCACAATTATATTGAAATACATATACACAAATATGCAAGATACATAATCAATAATGTACTTTATTAAACGTAATATTTGTAATATAGAAACACGACGAAGCAATCAAATTTTGTGTGCAATAATAATTCTTTAAGGAAAAAGATTTCATAAGTACAAGTTTTATTAAAATATGTAAATATTAGTAGACTCGTATTTGAGAGAATTCTCTCATAGCAATGACTATAAATATTTATGTAAATTTATTTAGTTATAAATAAGAGTAAAAAGTTATAATTATAATCACAAATAATTGTAAAGAATTAAATCAAATAAATTTATTACGCAAAAACCAACTAACGTAGCATTGTCATTTCAAATCCAAATAATCTCTCGCGCTTCTCAGCACGATGAGATCATTTGAGAGATCAGTTTTTTATAACACGATAAAAAAATGTCGTGCTATTAAAATTTAAAACTGTTTATTTTTTTCCACGGCTAATTGTCTCGTTCTTGGCGCGACAAGGCGCGTCTTGTTAAAATGACAAATCAGGCCGCGCCGATTCTGGTCTCGATAAATCACTGTCGTAATAAAAGCAATTTTTACCAGTCGGCGTAGGGCGCGACGACGTTTTCTCTCCTTTCTTCCGAAACTCCGAAAAAGTATCAGCCGCGACACGGACGCGATCGCTGGCAGCTCATTAAGCCGCGTAATGAGGTCGTCCCTACAGTTAATTATCCGGCAGACGGTTTTCGGTGGTCGTGCTCTCATTTCCCCTCTCTTTCCATCGCGATCGCGTCTCCTCCCAACCGTAGAAAGATGTAAAATGATTCCACGAACCATTCCGGCCCGATTGACGACACCCTAAATCACCCTCGCGGGAGAGCCCTCATTTCGTTCATTTCCGGTATCGAACTGCCGCATAAAAGCTCGGTGACTTGGAATTTCGATCGTGACCGAGCCGAAAATCGGTCTTTCCACCGAGTATGATTTATAGTTGCGGTGTAAACGTTTCGAAATTGCATTCGCAGAATCTGGCACAGCTCGCACTGTAAAAGCAATTCAAAGAGATTATTATATACTCTTTTAATTCAACTTTCGTAATCATTTTCGGGCTCTAATTCACGGTTGGGCGTATTTTTTTTCATTTTCAGATAGAAAAAACCTTAAAAAGTTCTGTAAATAAATTTAAAGTAATTGTAATAATCTTTGAGGTTTTATCTAAATTTTCGTCAACAGAAATACGTGTATTTTTCATTAAGCATTAATTAGTGAACTCTAAAGCATATATATATGCAGAGATAAAGAATTGAAATTTTTAAATACCTTATTAATTTGATAAACTCCAGGTGTTCGCTTCTGAACACGATCGTTTTAATAAATGTATATCAAATACACGCGCATCCTGCCGCGGACATGTGCATCTTATTTATGCAGGACTCGAAGCGAGACCGAAAGTGTCCTGGCGCCTCCCCCGATGATTTACACGCAAGAGGCGGTCGTCGTGGACGCGGAAGGGTATTCCAACGGTAAGAGGGTGAGATTACAGATGGCGGCTTCTTCGATGGGAAAACGACTGGTCGCGGCGCGACTTCCTTGTTATTTCGTGCCCGAATAAATTGCTGTTTGCTTCTTTTGCGGGATGTTTTTCCGGATTAAAGCGGATCATATTAACGGCGACGGTTGAATAAGGAATAACATCACGTCCGCGACATGTGCCGACCAATCGCTCGCGTGTGGCGGAAAAACGACGGGAATCACTTCAAGATTAAAAAGCAGCCGTCAGCTATTGTGTAAAACAGAAAATTGAACATGTTATTAATAATAAAAAAAACTTACTAAACTAAGAATTTGTAGAAAGCAGCAATAAAAATTTTAAAAATTACAATTTCTAAAATAAAATCTGCGAAACAGAATTATTTTAATTGGAAAAAAATTATTCAGCATCTGAAACGCAAATAAATTGGCATAGTTTGCTGTCAATGTTCGATATAAAAGCAAATGTTTAATCAAAAGGAAACAAAGTGTCGAGTTTAAACGAAAGTCAAGGCAGAAGTTAATATACACAATTGCAAACGGAAATTTTGAAAGAGTCGATAAACAGTTACTAAACGCGGAGACCACTGAGAAAACTCTGCCGCGCTCCGATTTATCTGCGGCGCGTAAGAAGTAATATAACACGACATTGGCAAGAAAACGGGCGCTCGGTTCACAGGATGTCTCCTTCCTCCCGAGCGCACTTGGACAACGAGGCATTCAGCGCCGTGATTCTAACAGTTTACCGTTCCGGTAAACTGTGCAGCTACCATAAGAGAATGCTCGCTGTTCCTTTATTCGAAGCTCCGCGATAAACGATAAACGAACTTTCTCTCGTTCGCGAAACTCTTTTGTAACAAACGTCTTTAAACTGCAAAATGTAACGATTGGCATAATCGTCTATCTTGGTTTCTCAAACTTAATTTTCAAAAAATTGTACCGTTTAAAACTCGAATACTCTACATTAATGATTTGTTTAATCCATAATTTTTTTGACGGTACGATAATATTCTGGAACATTTTATAGATACATGTTCTTAATAGGTAAAGATGTTTTTTTGATAAAAATTGGATTTGATAAAACAAAGGAATGAGTATAGAATTGTCTTGAGTGAGATGATCTAAAGACGTGTGGTACTTGTCTGAGGTAAGTGAACTATATTTCACACGTTGATAGTAATAACATATTTACATAATTTCTTAATGTACTTAATTGTGTTATCTATGCATGTATACACATGGCGGCGATAGAATATGTATAAGCATATATATATATATATATAT